TTACACTGTAACTGGCCCAGAATGCCTTTTCAAGGCCTGATGTCTTGCTAAAAGTTGTAGATATTGACGAGCCAAACAAAACCTCATCATAAGTTTTTGCCGAGAATTGGCTGGAAAAATGATTTAGGTCGAAATGTTGCGATATGAATTGGCTTCCGAAATCGCTGTTATGAAAATTTTGATATGGGGCTTGTATGGGTTTTTATATGGTACCCATATGATTTTTTTGGACAAAACCTATTTTTTGAGGTATATTTTTCGAAACTGCTCGGGCCTAGGGGCATTTCACTCGCATTCGAATACATGATCATTCGTGCACGAATCCTGCATTCGCAAAAAACAGTATAAGTATTTGCATTCGCACCATGTATTCGTACTGCCGCGCGAGCATTCGCGCGACTCCGCATATGAAACGTATTAAAACACTCGCACATGTATTCGTCGCGAATGCGCTCAGTTGCGATGAAGTGTCAAACACAGTCAAACATGTGGAAAGATGTCAGACGTGTTTGAAAAATTACAACGTGCATTAGGTGAACCTCTACCAGAAATTTTACAATTAATTCTCACACATTCTGGATTTGATATAGAAAGCGCATTAGTTACGTTAAGCATTTGCCGTCGCAGGTGTCCGATTTTTTGCAAATTTGTTTCCGTTTGATTACAATTCTTGATTAACTGTGGCAACTGGATAAACAATCGGTGACCCGGTTTAAATTTAAACCTATTCACATTCTCGTATGATGTTTCTTTGAGAATTTCTGGGTTTTCAATGACATAGTTCTCGATATCCATAATAGCATCGTTGTCAATGGACATTAGAGATGATTCATTTTCAAATGCACAGAATTCCAGGATTTTAATAATATCAGCCGGAATTTTTTCATTCAAATATTTTTCTAATTTGAAAATAACATTTTCTAGTCCCTAAAATACAAAACACAACTTAAATTGATATTAAATTTGGATCGAAATAACTATTTACCATTTTGGCGAAATAATGTAAACAATGTAGTTGCAACGATTAACACAACAAATCAATATAGATCTGTCAAGTGCATTCGCATTCGCGCAGCAATATTCGGACGTATTCGCTAATGCGCTGTATAGATACATTAAATGGTTATTCGTACGAATGCGAATATTCGGCACGAATATCAGTATTTGCGAGTGTTTATATTCAAATGCATGGCAAAGTATTCGCGCATTCGTACGAATGACAGTATTCGCATAGAGTGAAATCCCCCTAGGCTCGGGCCTTTTGGATGAGAGACAACTTTTTTTTGGAGCAGTCTAGTGTCGCTACTTTCAAGGCATCAATGATGCTCACAACTCACGTGCAAATTAGAAGTGTCCAACTGATGGTGCAGCAATCGATTCGCGTCATGATTCAAGAAGTAAAATTACGTAAGAACATAATAAAAGAATAGATTTTGTTTGTTACCTGGAAGTGAAAAATAAGAAAAATGAAATCATTAGAGAATTATTCTTATAAAATATGCCTTACTTAAATTCAAAACAACAATACATTTTAAGAACACATACATTCTTCAAGAGATCTCGGTTGACAACTCCAAACGGTCCAAAACTTAGAGTTACTCGATTTTGCCTTTGACTTATCAGTTGCATTAAGTCCTTTTGCAGCTCACATGGTAAACAGTTCCAATTGCTATCGTAGAGAATTTCGTCCAATCCATTTTCCTAGACATCAACCGAAATCGTAAATTGAAAAATTATTCGATATTCATGTTATACAACAGAATAATGTTACCTCAATATCTTGTCCAGTCTCACATATGAAGTAGAATTGAACCCACGACATCAAAGCCATGCCATAGCCCGCTTCGAAGCCCATCTGAAAGGTGGACAAATTGTTGGAGATATTCGAATTTTGTCTGTTTAAATTTGAAGTTAAAGGTACGAAAATGGGTAGTTACAGTGTATTGACAGAAAATGGCCATCGCAATCGAGTAAGTGAACAGAGCTGGTGTCACTAAGGTTCGCCAGTACACGAAATCCCGAAGGCACGCCACAAAGCTGTAAAAATAGACAGTGTTTGGAATTCAGACATTCTTCTCAACCCATTTTCATTGCTCATTCGAACTGAAAGGGAATCAATCAAATCTCACTCTTCATAATCGAGCAATTGTTTTGTTATATCCTGGAAGGCCACGCGAAGCTGTAGCTCGGATACCTCCTTTCTTTCACGCGATTCGAACAGTTCCTTGAGTCGGTTCTTGATCAGCCTCGGCGATATATTTATCACATTTCCAAAAAGTGCCATTGCCATTTCCATGCTGCCATAGATGATAAATCCATGAAAATATACAACGAATTGAAGTAACATATTCATTGCATATTCAATGCTTGGGTCTTCTTCAGCGAACGGGATTTTCACTTCAATTGTCGTTGTTCGAATTCCTTGCGTGAAATAAACGTAAACGGGCCCACCCATCCCGCACGACGATCCAATGTTTAACATTATTACCTCAGTAATCCACTTTTTCATAGTCATATCCATTTGATCCAGGCAGATTTGATTATGCGACGTGTGGTCATGGGTGTCAGGATAAATGTAACGACCAGCAAATTTTAACAACGAATGATATTTGTTCCGATCTTTTGAGAGCGTCGCGCATAAAAATGGAATATACTGGAAGTATGGATACATTAAAAAAAAAGTCCGCAATGTCAATCATATGCGTCAGAACAAAATCAAGTTTTCCTTATTTTCTTTCATTTATCTCACTGTTTATTCTTCTTCCAAAAATATGCTGCTATTATCGCTTTTTTCGTATATTCCGCCATTATTCTACCATTGGACTGTACATTGTACATTGTACATGTGCAGTGCATGGAAGATGGTGACTTTTATTTTGAATATTTTTTGTCGTACGGTGAAAATAAGGTAATTACTTTTTGATCCATATTAATACAGGGTGGCGCACTCGAAGTGTAACTGAAACAAAAGACTATAACTTTTTTGTTTTTTTTGTGAGATTTTTCATTGCTCTCTTTAGAGCTGGTGCTAAGATTTTAATTATTTTACAAGAAATGTGGGAAAATAATTAAAATCTTAGAATCAGCTTCCAGATTTCAGTTCTACTGGATCGAGTTATGACTTCAAGACTGCGATTCAACAACATAGACCCTGCACGAACGTGGGTGTTTGGAATTCATTCTCATTCTGGCTATAGTCTTCACATTAAGATAACCTATGTTTGGTATTTTTGTGAGCCAACAGTGCCTTGTAATATACTTTAGGAATAAAAGTCCTTGGAACCCTATTCTTCTTTATTGAATTTGACAGCCAATAGTCGACCAAAATGAGCCCCAGAACGCCGTTTTGTTTTTCACCGAAGCATGGTTTTCTTTCGAAATGGGTTCAATTTTAGTGTTTTATGGAATCTTTTGGTACAACTATAGCCAGGTTTATATTTTTAGAGCTCCAATCTTCATCCCAGTACCAATGACAATACATGAATTCCTTATTTTGGGATCAGAATCAGACGTGTGCAAGGTCAAAAATTCTGGGGGGGGGGGGGGATTAAAATGATTTTGCCGGGGGGGATGTCAAATTTGTAATGGGTGTCTGAAAATTTATAAATGGGTGTCGAAAAAAAAGTTAAGACCTAAAAAAAAAAGGTCCTCACTTTTGGAAATCGATTCTATCTAGTGTCAAATTTTCCAAATCGCTTGGGGGGGGGTCCACATTTTGGAATCCTAGAGGGGGGGTAAAACCGGAATACCCCCCTGCACACGTGTGATCAGAATGGAGAAAGTGGAGAGAAAATTCAATAATTTGGGATTGTCACAGTTCTGACCTTCAAAAGGAGTTGTGCATGGGTGATAGTGGTCCAATAATGACTAGAGTTCTTTTATAATACTCTACGAACTAGAATCTAATCACTTTTGTGGTTTGTGGTTGCACTAGCTGTATAAGCTTTCTTCCCGAAGTTCAATTTTTTTCTTTCAAAACTACAACTTCCGTGCAAACACGTTTAAATAAATAGTCGATGGGAGGGTATAACTCAATCCAATGGAACTGAAATTGAAATCTGGAAGCTGGTTCTAAGATTTTAATTATTTTCCAACATCTCTTGTCTTTAGAGCAATGAAAAATCTCAATAAACAAAAACGTTATAGTCTTCTGTTTCAGTTACACTTCGAGTGCGCCACCCTGTTTATTAATTAAGGAACAAATGTTTTTCGTCTAAAGAATTGATAAAATCACACACAAGCAATTCGCGCGAGAAACTGGGGAATATTTGCTCCTATACGGAATAAACATAGAATACTCTGTATTGGAGTAAACATGTGTGCGTTCACTCCAGTTCAGAGCGGTTGTTAAACTTACTAACACATGCGCAAGCTTGGTAGTCACTCAGTAGGGGAAAAAGACATATACATTTATTCCATAGTACGCTGGTTTGCACCAAACTGGAATAAACGTATTGACATTACTCCACTACAGAGTCAATAGCAAGCTTGCGCCAAGCACCGGTTCGGACATAGAAATATGCAAGATAAATATGCAAAGCATAGACGCATGCGGACGACCGTGCGACGAACGTATCAACGGGCGATCGTACATTGCGAGACGCACGCATAAGTGTGCGTATGAATACAGTACACAGCAAACAACGATGGCTCTGTTGATACGTTCGTCGCACGGTCGTCCGTACGCGTCTATGCTTCGCATATTTATACAGTATAAAACATCTAGGTAAACATATTTCTATGTCCGAACTGGTGCTTGGCTTGCGCATGTGTTAGTAAGTTTCACAACCGCTCTGAACTGGAGTGAACGCACACACGTTTACTCCAATACAGAGTGTTCTATGTTTATTCCGTATAGGAGCAAATATTCCCCAGTTTCTCGCGCGAATTGCTTGTGTGCATCTAATTTGAATTTCTATTTTTTTCGGTAAATATCATTTTAAGATATTAGAAAAATGTCTAAAGAATTAACAAGAACGTCTAAAGAATTTGTCAAAAGAATTGAAAAAAATCGTCTAAAAAATGCTTATATTTTTGTGTGTGGAAAAATCATCTAAGATAATAACGAAATCGTTAAGAAGAATTTGAAAATCGTCTGAAGAAATGAAAAAAATCGTAGAGAAATTGCAAAATTAATCTAAATCGTCTACTCTTAGATTACAAACAAGCTCGTCGGGCAGAACAATCCGATATCTTGCTGCCTTTGCTATATCAAACTGATTCAAGCTGACTTTTCAGAACAAGAAAAAGACAAACCAAATGTATAGAGAACTCGACTGATAATGACAGTATGCAAAGTTCTCAACTATACTTGGATATCTTAACGATACGATTCTTAAATACTACAACATTGATGCTCTCAATTGACAAGAATCATAGTAGTTGTCCAGTGCGTGCAAAAGCAGTTTGTTTGAAATCAGCCACTTGTTATGGACAAAATAGCTAGCTATGTTCAATTTACAAACCTCTCCCCTAGAGATAAAAGATGAAAAAGGAATGAATAAGCAGGCGTTTTTCAATCGAACATCGCTTTTTAAATTGAATTAGTTTCACCGTATCGTCTCGTGACTTAAATTTTTCCATTTTCTTGATTTAAAATGAATTGTATTTAATTTAGACGGGTTTTAAAATCCTTTAGACGTTTTTCTAATAATTTTAGATGGTTTCCTAATGAGCCCATTTATTAATATCACAGTGGAACAATTTTCAAAAAGTTTGAAAGAACTTGACCGTGACTATGCGGGGACGAAAGTAGACCTATAGCTGAGTGAAACCCTAGCGGGGTTTTGTCGAATTGGCAGGGGATCTCATTTTTTCGACTTAGGCGTTTTTTCAATAACATGGTTTTTCGGCAATATAGACTACGTCAAATTTTGTTCAATAAACCGTTCATTTCTGGTGATAGCTTATTACTGTCTTTGGCAAAGTTATAGCTGAGAGTCCAATAAACAAATTTTATGAACATTTTACACATGAAAAATCACATCTAGTAGGTGCTGTGGAGCAAAATGTCGAAAAAATGGACGATTTTTTCAATTTTTCGACCATAACTCATAAAATATCCATTTTTTTTGTATTTTGTCTTCGTCATTATTGTAGCTAGCGTTAAACTTAACAACTCTCCTGAACACATTTTCCCAAAAAAATCACATCTAGCCTACTTTCTTGGCTCAAATTCACTTGTCGCTACCAAACGATATCATCGAGCATTTTCGGAGTTCTATAACTTCTCAACTACTCAAAATAGATCAATAGTTTCTGAAGCAACTTTTTAGTATTTCTCATGGGCTTTGCAGACCAAGTACTAAAAGTACTAAAAAAGTACTAAAATGTACTAAAAACTACTAAATCCTCTCAATGGTTCTGGACACCTGTAGGTGATGCTACGTAGTACTAAATAGTACTAAAATTGACAGAATTGAAATGTTACAGACCCTCATGAACGTTACTCGCTGAAATATCGGTATTTAGTTCAATATTGGCCCCGTACATCTCGTGGATTTTTCAGCTGTTTGGACTGTAATATTTTTAAAGTTTATCCAAATATTTCAGCGAGTAACGTTCATGAGGGTCTGTAACAGTTCAATTCTGTCAATTTTAGTACTATTTAGTAATACGCAGCATCACCTACAGGTGTCTAGGAACCATTGAGAGGATTTAGTAGTTTTTAGTACGTTTTAGTACTTTTTTAGTACTTTTAGTACTTGGTCTGCAAAGCCCATGAGAAATACTAAAAAGTTGCTTCAGAAACTATTGCTCTATTTTGAGTAGTTGAGAAGTTATAGAACTCCGAAAATGCTCGATGATATCGTTTGGTAGCGACAAGTGAATTTGAGCCAAAAAAGTAGGCTAGATGTGATTTTTTTGGGATAATGTGTTCAGGAGAATTGTTAAGTTTGACGCTAGCTACAATAATGACGAAGACAAAATACAAAAAAAACGGATATTTTATGAGTTATGGTCGAAAAATTGAAAAAATCGTCCATTTTTTCGACATTTTGCTCCACAGCACCTACTAGATGTGATTTTTCATGTGTAAAATGTTCATAAAATTTGTTTATTGGACTCTCAGCTATAACTTTGCCAAAGACAAAAATAAGCTATCACCAGAAATGAACGATTTATTGAACAAAATTTGACGTAGTCTATATTGCCGAAAAACCATGTTATTGAAAAAACGCCTAAGTCGAAAAAATGAGATCCCCTGCCAATTCGACAAAACCCAGCTGGGGTTTTACTCAGATATAGGTCTACTTTCGTCCCCGCATAGTCACGGTCAAGTTCTTTTGGGGCTGTTCCACTGTGTATATATAATGATAAAAATATATCATTTTTTTCTATTAAACTCACGCAACAAACGATTCCGGAGAGGCAAGTGGATGGAAGGAACTTTTCTATCTCCCCTTGCATATTGTAATAATATGCAGTGTAGATAACAAGCACGCCATAAGTGCCACCAACCGCAAATGAGCAGTATGAGTA